CTTGAAGAAGCAGGTCAAGGTGAACCTTGCATAGAGGGTCCTATTAGACCTCCCCGAGAGCCAGGCCTGCCGCCCTGAGCTTAGTTGGTCTCGTCCCTTACTCTTCAGGCCGATGAGGACCTCCTTCAGGAAGTCACCAAGCCCACCGAGCCAGCACAATGCCATCCTGCACGTTCTTTTCCCTTCACTGCTCTCCATTCTGCAGTGAGCCTCGCCCCTAAAGGGCCCAGGAGAGGCAGCCGAGCCCTTCACAGCCCCTCCCTACCTTGTCCTTTCATCCCGGCCTCCTCTCTGCATGGCTCTGTGTGACTCCAGTTTGCCACGCTGCTGCCTGCACTGCTGCTGGGTGTGTGTGTGTGTGTGTGTGTGTGTGTGTGTGTGTGTGTGTGTGGTTTCCATGTACCCAGCAGACTCCTGCCCGAGAAGCTGGCTCATTTGAGTCCTGGGCTGTTGACCACAGGTTACACCACTTTGTGGAGCCTGTGCCATAGGATTGGGTCCTGAAAAGTGTGTAGATTAAACCGAGAGGTCTCAGGCTGACTCAGTGGGCAGCAAAGGCCCGCCCCAGTCTTCTCCGTGGGGAGCTGGTGGGTGAGGTGCACGTCCTGCGGTGGAGACCCATGGAACAGTAGCTCCCGCTCCCGCTTCGCTCCATGGAACCAGGTCTGAGAGCAGGTGACCTTGGTCTTGTCATCAGTATAGCAACTGCCCTGTACGCGTGTCTGTCCCATCTGCACTTGGGCTTTCCCACCTGCCTGGCCTGCCGGTCTTACTAGCCCGCGGCATTCTCAGAAGGGCTCAGCCAGCGGTGGCCATGGACGCCCCACGGTCAGCACAGCCTTACTGGGGCCTCCCCGAATCGAATCGCTCTTCCTCTAAGGGCAGTGTCACCAGCAAGGTGCTGCCGGGAGTGTGTGCACGGGGACACGCTCATCTGCTGAGACTCACCATCCAGTCACGACAAAGATGTTGGAGCCGCGCAGAGGAATATGTAGCGTAAAAATAACGTTAGGCTTTGGGTCTCTGAAGAAACGTGAGTCATTCCATGTCAAGTGCCATTTCACTCCTTAGGGGTCTCGGGGACTTTGGTTTTCTTCAAGGGTCACCCGTTCAAACATGATCCAAGGGAGGGGAAGCCTGCAGGGCCCGGGCTGCCAAAGGGCGTCGTCTGTGTGGCCTTTGGAGGCCGATTCTTGGTCCCCACCTCTGGTCCGCCTGGCTCGGGGAGTTGGGGGGTGGGGAGGGAACAGTCTGAGCGTCTGTGTTTCAGAACGACCTGCCGGGGTTCTGATAGGTGGCTGGGTTCAGGGTTATTGGCTGCCTGTAGTGAGATGGAAGTGAGGGGTGCTGGGATACAGTGGGGCACTGCCAAAGACCAACTCGTCTACTTTGCAATTTCACACCACCCGGTAAGTACCATTTCCTCAGAGTCCAAAGGCATTCATGGCGCCTTCACTGACTGCACAGCGGGGTTGTACTAGACCCCTCCCCGGGGCTGGCGGTGCCTGGACTCTTGCTGGAATCACGGGGACCCTCTCCAGGTAGCGGCGGGTGCAGACACTGGGCCCTGGAGTGTGGCCCGCAGCCAGCTCAGCGCTGAGGGGCAGGCAGCGTTTCTGGGTTACTCTCCTCCGCGCCTTCAGTGCCAGCCTTCCCGTCTCTGGGGACAGTGTCTGTAGCGCTGGAGGAGGGACTGCAGAAGGCAGCCACCGTGGTCTGAAGCTAAGGGGTCGGTGGCTGGCGTAGGTCGGGGCCATCGATGGCGCTGGGATGAGGTACCTGGTGACTCTCGGAGACCCCTTCCTCGCTCACCCCACCTCTCAGCCCACTCCCCGCCGGGGTCTCCCGTGGGCCTGGCATTGTTTATCAGAGGCTGAGGGAGGAAGCAGTCCTTGCTCCTGCCACCAGGAGGCAGGAATGGGGATCCCCACGAATGCTTCCTGCATGGGGAGGTGCACCTAACATCCCGACGCGCTCACTGGGTGGGTGTCCCACGGGTTAGGCAGTGGCTCTCAGCACAGGGAGGCTCGGTGCAAGTTCAATGCACACTCCTGGGCCTCTCCCAGGCTTTCTGGGCCGGACTCTGGGAAACCGGGCCAGAGAATGGGTATTTTTACCACGTGCCCCGCGGGTGATCCGCTTGGAGGAGAGTGTGTTGTGGCCCAGCGTGCAGACAGGGCACTGTTTCCGGGCAAGAAGCGGCTTGGAGAGCTGGGGGTGGGGAATGACGTGGCTCTCACGAGCCCGCGGCCTGTGCTGGCCGCCCGTGCAGGGAGGAACTGGCGGTGCTGGTGGGGTGTGTGACGAGTGTCAACTGGAGAAGTCTCCACGCAGTCCACAGAGCTGGGGGACACCTTTCAAATGCCTGTGATGGGCCCTGAGGCACACTGCGTTCAGTGTGCGTGAAAGAAACAGGATCTCAGGTGGTAGAGACCCCGGACCATGTGTTTAATAGTAGGAAGGTTTAGGAGGAAAACAGACAGATTTTCAAAACTGACACATACCCACCACGACACTTTCCTACCCGATCATTCCCATTCGGACCGAGCCTGCAGTGGTCACACTGACGTTATCTCCCAGGCGCCTGTTGCTGTCGGTGAACAACAAGCAGCCAACCCAGGTGCAACCTCCCGCCAGGCACATTAGGACGAAACGAATGAAAACAATTAGAAATTTGCACTAAAAATTACAGCTGACGGGAAAGGCAAGCGCCTTTTATTTTTATCCGAAGTCACGGGGTTTGGAAATGGGTTTCATCTTGATGAATATTTAATACAAACAATCCTTCCCCCATCTCCCCATCCCCCCATCTTTCCAGGCATCAATTCACTGTCGGTTTATTTTTCTGGTTATTTTAGGCAACTCTGTGTCTCTCTCTGCCGCGCCTGTCAGTTTGGGGGGATGAGAAGTATGACAACCCGAAACCTGGAGCAGATCTTCCCTGTTAGTCCCTCTCCTCTTGAGATCGACATAAATCAACCCCCGGTACATGTAGAGACAGCCTGCGTCTGTGCAGCGGGCAGGGAAAACCAAGGCCAGACCGTGAGAGCGCAGTCCCCGGCCCAGCCACACACAGGCACCGATCTTACAGCGCTTCGCTAAGCGGTCCCCTCCGCTCTCGGTCTGTGTGATTGGGAGACGATAAATTAAGCCCCGGAGCTGGAGTGATTCTATCCTGGAGACTGACTGCCATTCCATCGCCGCGTAAATCATGCATGGGGCCCGGTTCCATTATTTACGACGTTGGGTGCAGCCACAGCACCTGGAGTCGCAGCCGGCGTTCTCAGCACCGGCAGGAAAGCAGGCAGCACGCGTTTTAATGGGACGAACCCCTCAGACAGGCCGTGGCCCCTCGAGGAATGAGTGGGGGGCTCGGGATTACACCTCAGAAGGAGAGTGGCGATGACCTCTGGATGGAGCCAGATGGGTGGTGTATGTGGAGCCGGTCCTTCAATTTTACCCCCGTCCTTCAGAGGGACTGTGTGTTTTTAAGGTTATAAATATTGTATATTTTTATACAAAAGCTAGAATTTCCACAGGAAAATCAAAAGACAAAATGGTGCATCTTTGCAGCAATTTGCCTTCATATTGATTCTTTGAGCTGGGTGGCTCTTTAGATCCTGAACTTGGGAAACTTCTAGAGTGTGTTATTGAAAATACTTTAGTAGCCCTAGCCGGTTTGGCCCAGTAGGTAGAGCATTGGCCTGTGGACCAAAGGGTCCTGGGTTCGATTCTGGTCAAGGGCGTGTACCTTGGTTGCAGGCTCCTCCCAGCCCTGGCCCTGGTCAGGGTGCATGCAGGAGGCAACCAGTCGATGTGTTCCTCTCACATCCACGTTTCTCTCTGTCTTGCCCTCTCTCTTCCACTCTGTAGAAGATCAATGGAAAAATATCTTCGGGTGAGGGTTAACCAACAACAACAACAACAACAACAAAACCCAAAAAAGAAGAAAATACTTAAGTAAAGGAAGGCGCTGTGTTAACATTTGGGTTCCTCGCTGCACCCTCATTTTCTCTGACCTGGCGAGTGGGGCTTCCGGGCGCAGTGCGCCTGCAGTGACCTCAGCCTCTTTAACCAGCCTTTCCCTCCGTTGCAGGAACCCAAGCTCCATCAGCAGGCCCCAACGAGTCGCCCGCACCCGGTCAGTCCCAGGGTGACCAGGAACGTGACCTTAGTGTAGCGAGGGTGCTGCACTTGGCTGATGACCTGCACCACGGCCGGGCCAGCACTGCTCTCCAGAGGCCCAGCCCGCGGCGTTACCCGGAAGCGGCGATGTTGGAATCATTGAAACGGATATTTCAGTGAGAGAAGGAACCATTGTTCCCAACTTCCCAAGTAGAAGTTCACTTTTAATGTGTTTCAAGATTCCAGAGACTTCTGTAAAGTTACTAAGTCACTGCACACTCCTGCTTGCTGGTCCAATGAGTCGATAGCCTGCCATGACTTTAAACATGTTTTTGTCACCTTACATCATATAAAGTTTATATGTGTGTCTGTACTCCGTGGGCATTCTTGCACAGGGTCAGTGAAAAGAAGAGGCTAAAAGTTAGGATCCGTCAGACATCTAACATTGCCTGGAAAGCCAGGACCAGGTTACAAATAAGATCACGGTCTAAAGCACCTGGTGAAATATCTCACTGGGCATGTGCATGGAGACATGCATTTTTATCTGCCCCCTTATCAGCTGCTCTCACGGCCTCAAGATGACTCAGATGTGGATGATGCTTTGTAGGAGGTGTGGCTCACATACCACACACACTGTGATGTAACTGGAAATGGGTAATGTGTTCCTTGTTTTGTTTTGTTTTGTTTTGTTTTGTTAATCCTCACCAGCAGATATTTTTTCCATTGATTTTTAGACCGAATGGAAGGGAGGGGAAGAGACAGAGAGAGAGGAAACATCGATGTCACAGAGACACATCAATTGGTTGCTTCCTGCATGCGTCCCAGCCGGGGTCGGGGATTGAACCTGCAACCGAGGTACAAGCCCTTGACCAGAATCAAACCCGAGACCCTTCGGTCCAAGGGCTGACACTCTATCCACTGAGCTATACTGGCCAGGGCAGGGGAATGTGTTCTTTAATAAATAAAGGAGAAAACACCAAAAAGTTTGCATTGCCTCACTTCACTTCACTATTCAGGTGGTAGTTTACAGAATCACAGTGTTCAGGAATCAAGCACTTTTTTAAAAATTGAAAGCAATTCTTCAACATCATCAAATAGTAATTCAGTACTGGACTTTTTGTCATTGTCTTGTTATTTTTTTTTATAGTTAGTTTTTTTGTTTGTTTGTTTTTGTTTTTGGTTTAGGACCTAGTCTGGGTTCATACATTGTATTTGATTACCGTATCTCTTAAGTCTCTTTTATTTTATTTTACAATTTTACAGTTGCTATATAATATGATATTAGTTTGGTTAGACACTCATATACCTTACGAAGTGACCACCCAAAGTGAGCAGCGTCTGGCACCACACTTACTACAATATTATAATATGCTGTGTTTTACATCCTTGTGACTATTTTTATAACGGCAAGTTCACCTTTCTTAATCCCTTTCACCTTTTTCTTCCATCCCCTGGAATCAAGCATTTTCCAAGATGCAAAACAGATGTTTGTAAAAACAAAATCACATCTTCTTGGCAGTCTTTGCCTATTGTGCATTAGCCCCTAAAGTGAATATACATGTTGTTACTAAGAATAAAAGACTGAAATTGCTGCCTTTTCCAAATACATGTTTACCATGTAGGTCTTCTCAGGGCCTTTCTATTTCACTGAGAGGTGGGACTGCTGTTTGGCTGAGCTCTGCGCTAGTTGGTGCAGGGTTCCATCATGGTTGGTAATTGACAGCTGCTCTGAGCACCCCTCATGCCCTGCCATGCTATTGCCAAATAGAATTTGACTTTTAAAATGTGTGAAGATTTTAGTGAATTGCTCCAAGTTACTAAGCCATCCTGTTAATGTTTCTCATTACTCAACACTCCTGCTTGCTGGTCCATTAAGTGGTGGACAAGTCTATATATAAGCTGATTTAGAAAATACTTTTATGATCTTAAATCCCATCAGGGTCCTCTCATGCACTCCCTCCTATGAATCAGGAGCTAACACAAGGGGCATTTGCTGGCACATAGGGCTTTGGCAGGTACCCTGCCCATTCTGATTGGTTGGTGTCCATACCATGTCTATTCTGATTGGTTGGTGCCCAGACAATGTCTCTTCTGATTGGTTGGTACCCACACACTATCTTTTCTGATTGCATGGTGCTCATACCTTACTGGTTGTCAAATAGTTTGAATATAAGCAGGGTTGGAAGGATCCTGAAAAAAATGCCATGTCTTCTAAGACTATATGCCTAAAGTGAGGGGACTGGCTGACTTTTTTTTTTTAATTTTTTAAAAAAAATCTATTTTATTGATTTTTTACAGAGAGGAAGGGAGAGGGATAGAGAGTTAGGAACATCGATGAGAGAGAAACATCGACCAGCTGCCTCCTGCACACCCCCCACTGGGGATGTGCCCGCAACCAAGGTACATGCCCTTGACCGGAATCGAACCTGGGACCCTTCAGTCTGCAGGCCAACGCTCTATCCACCGAGCCAAACCGGTCAGGGCCTGGCTGCCTATTTTTGTTGGAGCAGAACTGAAATGCAAAATTTCAAAAATACATTCCCATTTTGCTTTCCTACGGGGCCATTTTATGGGAAAAATTGCCAGTGCACCTGCCTGTAAAATGAGACTCTTATTTATCACACGAATTCTTTACTCCCGGGCAGTGTGATTCTTTCTCCCACCACCGTCCTGGAATGCCTACAAGTCAAGGAGAAAGATAAGAAGGTTCAGGAGACCCTGTGGGCGAGCTGTTCAATACGTGATCTTCACATTCTTCACTGAATAATTTTCTCCCCTTCAACCACCACAGAACTCAGATCCCAGGACCAGGCAAACATCATGTCCCTTACGCCCTTTGTAACCTTTACAGAATCTGACATTCTGTAGGTGTTCAGGAAGTATTGGTATTAAATAGGTCCATATCGAGAAAGACAGTATATTGAATTATCACAAATATTTGCCATCTGCAGGCTGTACGTATTGTATTTCTGTGGTTATTTTAAGAGTCAGGGAGGGGTTGCATGTAGAATATAATTGACCTTCAAGTTCTGAATTGGGGAGCACAATGCCAACCGATTTTCATAGAAATTTCTCCAAGTTAGTGTGTGCTTATTGAGTCATCTCACAATATTTTCACGTTGATCAGACTGTGGGAGGTTTGCCTGTGCCGGCAATGAACAGGTTTTTTAGCAGCTTATTCCAGGAGCAAGTTTCTCAAGTTTTCATTCCACAAGAGGTAGATAAGTTATTTGAATAAAATTATCAAGAGCTGCAGTATCCAATAGCATGAGGCTTTTCATATTTAAAGTCTTTGAAGTTAAATAAAAGGCAAGATTCACTTCCTCAGTTGTACTAGCCCCAAGTCAAGTGTTTAATAGCCACACCGGCTATCGGCTACTGTATTGGACAGTGCAGATTCAGCTTCCATGGCTGTTCTATTGACCGTGATTGACCGTGCTGACCGAGAGCCGGCTACTTTGACAATGACCTTCATGTATCCAGGACCGGCTTTTACACAAACACGCCATCCGTGCTTTCTCTTGGTGTTACGTCTGTGCATTTGCCAGTTTCTATTTAGGATCCTGCAAATCCCAAGGCAGCTCCCAACTGAAAATGGGGTTTTGCTGATGTGGAAAATTCACCTCTCACTTCTGTAATGCAGAGAGCTGACGCGGGCTCGGGGGCACGGGGTGAGAGGAGTCAGTCCCTCCCAAGGTCATGGCTAAGGGTGATTCTCAGAAAGATAGCGATGGCTCTCCGATGATGAATTGCAGATGAGGCTGTTGCTATTTATTTATTATTTTTCAAAAATATATTTTTATTGATTTCAGAGAGAAAGAGAGAGAGATAGAAACATCAATGTTAAGGGCAAATCATTGATGGGCTGCCTCCTGCATGCCCCCTACTGGGGATCGAGCCTGCAACCAGGGAATCAAACCGTGACTTCCTGGTTCATAGGTTGATGCTCAACCACTGAGCCATACTGGTTGGGCGAGGCTGTTGTTAAACAATCATCCCTCAAAGCTTCTTGTCATGAAATCCTAGCTTGGTAGACCACACCTGCTCATCCTCCTTGGGGTGTTGGACCTGGTTACTCTGCAGATTCCGAGCCTGCCCTGCACACTCAGGGATCTCCCGTAGTTTACCTGGAGGAGGACTCCGTGGCAATGTTGACACAGCGAAGATAATTGAGATCTTGAATGAAATCACTTCCTTGGTTCTGTGTGGCCCTGACCTTGGAAAACCACTGGGGCTTTGAAGTGGGGTTGCCGGTTTCTAGGAGTTGGATGACCTACAAGGTGAATGGGTGCTGCAGAACATGCAGCAGACACTGGGTCAGTGTGTGCAATCTGCCACCGAAGTGCTTGTGACGTCCTTGGGGAAACACTCCATCCTGCATGAAGAGGGAGGCGGACATCTCTATGGAACAGCGAAGGACAAGAAGACTGTGGAGACCAGAGAAACGAGGCAAGACAGTAAGGAAGAAGGGTGCTGGGGGCAGGTGTAATAGGCAGGATAGGGTGGATGGGTGGTCCAGCAGGCCTAGGCAGGACCCGGAGCCTGAGGAGCTGTTACCATCCACCAACTGATGGGCGGGGAGAGGCTAGACCTGTATGGAGAGGGTCGCCGACAGCTACGGGCCTTAGATGGAGGGACACAGTCAAGCCCTGGAAACCTGGCAGGGAGGGAGTTGGAGTGACACAGACTCTGGCCTCCCAGCCCACCCCCATCTCCTCCTCATGCCTCCCATTCACCACGCCCACCCAGAGCCGGAGGCCACGTTGCCCACTGATATCCGTATGGATGGATGTGGAGGGGCAGGCAGGAGATACCCTGCCAGGAGGAGCTGGCAAAGTTTAGGAAACAGAAATCAAACAGAAATCAAGGGATGAAGACTGTGTCTGTACAGTCCCGAAGAGACGGTGTGCCTAACAGCGTTCCACTTTTTTCTCTCCTTAGGGATGAATCCATTTCCCTGGGGCACCAGTTGGAGAAAAGGCATTTGGCTGCATTGAATTTGAGTCGGTCACGTCTTCGATGACACATGAGTAGAACAAAGGAATTGGACTGTGAACCCCTAAAATCCCTTCTGGCACTTACCTTTGTTGAGATATTCACACACACACACACACACACACACACACACACACACACCCCCTGCCTGCTCATCTGAGATTCTGAGATGGCCCAGCTGTTCGGCTGAGGCGGCCCTGGAGGGAGCCGCGCTGTGCTCCTCTGCAGGCGGTAAATATTTAATTCTCACCCAGCACAGACTGTGAATCATGCCAGGGCTACGGCCTCAGGGCTGGGGGTGGGGCTCACCAAACTCCTGAAGCTCCAACTCCCACCTCTCAGCCTGACCTGGACAAATGCAGAGATGGAGGG